GACAGCAGCCCTCACAGCAAAGCTGCACTGCTCACACAACCGGTGCGCTGCCAGTAAGTGGGATGTGCCACTCTGTGGAGTCACTGTCTGGTGAAACTCTTTCCCCTGTTTCAAGCTGCAAATGCCAAAACTGACAGAGAGCCTTTGCCTCCCAAGAAATCAGGCATGTGAGGCAGAATACTTATATACAGAGCAGGTTCACAAGCAAATGGCACTGCTGTTTGCCTGGGGCTGAAGGAGGCACGACATCCTTCTTTCCAGCAGAGCTTGAAGGTCCCACATCTGGGCTGGCCTCAGAATCACAGAAGCACAGAACGGCCCAGGTTGGAAGCGACCTCAAGGATCATGAATCTCCAACCCCTCTGCCACATGCAGGGCCATCAATCTCCCCATTTAATGCTAGACCAGGCTGCCCAGGGTCCCATCCAACCTGACCTTGAACACCTCCAGGGATAGGGCAGCCTGTTCCAGCACCTCACCACTCTCATAGTGAAGAATTTCCCCCTGCCATCCAACCTAAATCTTCCCTCCCTCAACTAAAAACCATTCCCCTTGGCTTTCTCAGTTGGCAAAAGCTGGCCATGGGCGGCTGTGAGCCGTGGGAGCTTGTTGGTGGGAAGGTAAAGGTGAGGTGCTTTGGCACCAGCCCTCTGTAGCACCTCCCATAGGGTTCTGTCCAATTCTGGCAGAGCTAAGATCCCTTCTATAAACATCCAGAGAGGGAAGTAGGCTTTCTGAATTTGTTTAAATTCATTGTCAACTTATTCATTCCTTTTTGACTTGGCAATATTCTGCAGTAGACCTTTTCCAGTATTTAAATGAGCATTATCTGCAAAAATATTTTTGTTCTTTTGAACACATGCACCAGCTGGCCACAGTCAGCGGTCGTGGTAGTGAGAATGTTGTCAGGAAAGCTTTGCTCCCAGCTGCCTGTGAGACTTTGCAAAGAAAAACAGATCGTATCTATCGATCTTAAACTAACACATTAAGACTCTGGGATTTTCCAACACATCTGGTGCAAAAGGAAGCGGTCAGCACGAATGTGAGTTTGAGTCTGGCTCCAGCCAAAGGGGGACCTTCCAGTAAGCGTTACGTGCAGACTTTCCACCTCCAGCCTAATGAGGTTTGTGGCCTCAACTCCAAAGCGAGCCTACCCACCAGTGGAAGTGCTGATTAAACCACTGAGCTGGGTCCAATCTCCTCATTTAGATCCTATTCAATATTTCATTAATGCTGCAGATGCAGCACTAGCAGAAGCAAATTCACTTCTCCCAAAGCTGGCGAGGCTCTGCAGACACCGGTGCCACATCCTCATCAGTGTGGGTGGGTGTTGTGTGGGCCAGTGCACCCAGGTGGCCGCTTCTGACACCTGGCAACAAACTCCCATCCTCTCACAGTTCGGGTCATAGGGCTATGGCCATGGGAAGCACACTCTAGCTGGTATGCATTCAAGGCCAGGCAGCTGCATGTAGTCCGGGTCATTAGATACCACTGGCACCTTCTCATGCTCCTTAATTAACATGGTGCCATGTGAACCAACAGAACTAACTCTGTATCTTTCACACGGTCTCGGAGTCACAAGCACAGCCAGCACACCCCGTGTAATGTTGCCCTAAAGTGACATTAGTCACCCATCTACCTCCCACTCCAACAGGCAGAAAAATGCCCTGTCTGATTCCCTCTGGCAGACCAAAGTGGCTCGTTTCCCCTGGATTCCACCACTGTGGGGGTGTCTGCAGCAATGTGCCCTGTGCTCACCATCAGAAAATGCAAAAGCGCTGTGTCTGTGATCATGCGTCCATGGAGCAGAATGATGCCTTGCAGAAACATTCAGATGAGTTTTGGATTAGTACCTTGGGCACTAGAGCCATTTTAACCTTATTAGGACAATGCTCTGGTTGAAGCAATTAGCCCTAATTACAGGAGCAGTTATATTGGACTTGGAGGAGTTGTATTCTCGTAGCTACATGTTTTGCACTTTGAGTTATCTCTGCAGAAATTCCAGTGTGTCCTTTGATGAGAAAATGCATAAAGATCCCAGGTTAGAGAGTGACCAGTGACCCAGGGTAAAGATAACAGAAATGGATAAATCCAATTTCCAAAATGAATATGAGGCTGCCTATGATTTCTTCTTAGACAAGCAGTTTAACAGGAAAGGAAAATCTTCTAAGTGTATCTCCACTTCATTTCTTTCAAAGCAGCATTAGGGGGGAAAAAAATCTAATTTAAGAATAGGAAAGAAAAGTAATGAAATATACATCTTCCACAAATTTGCAGTGTTCCAAGCCCCTGCTTGGGTATCCAGGATGGTGCAGAGCTGGTGAAAGCACACTGCCTGATGCACTGTCAGCTGCAGCTCACCGTTCCTCACTATGACACCGAGAAACATGAGTTAATTTTGTTTTGTTCTCATTTTGAGTGAGAAATCAAAGCAGAGATGTTCTGTGACGTAGCCAAGCCCTGAGGATTATGGGGGGATCTCCAGAAGAAAGCCCAGCAGGGGTGTCCATAGCCTTTGTCCTGCCATCCCTGCCCCAAGCAACAGGAAGAGCATCTCCAGGACTGCGTCCATCAGCCTCAAGAAAATGAGGCTGCAACGGGCTGCCACAGGAGCTGCTCTGGAGTTGGGAAACATAGGGCGTCCATAAGGCAAAGGGAGGCTGTAGGACAGCCTTCCTCCAATGCCCTTGCAGCAGGAAAGCTGAGCAAGAGCAAGCCTCAAGGGGATTGTTCAGTCTGGAGAAGAGGAGCTCAGGGGTGACCTTACTGCACTCTACAAATGCCTGAGAGGAGGTTGTGGCAAGGTGGGGGTCGGTCTCTTCTCCTATGTAATTAGTGATAGGACTAGAGGGAACAGCCTCAAGTTGCACCCAGGGAGATTCAGGCTGGATAGTAGGAAATACTTCTCCGAGAGAGTGATCAGGTGCTGGAATGGGCTGCTCAGAGAGGTGGTGGAGCCGCTGTCCCTGGAAGTATTCAAGAAACATTTAGATATTGTACTGAGGGACATGGCTTAGTGGGGAATATTGTTGATAGGTTAACAGTTGAACTGGATGATCTTAGAGGTCTTTTTCAACCTTGGTGATTCTATGATTCTATGATTCTAAGAGAAGGGCAGCACCTGGAGGAAGAAACACACTCAGGTGCTGCAGGGCTGTGGCCCATGAGCAGCGCTAGAGGTGTCCCAGGAGGTGCAGGGGCTCCGACCTCACAACAACAGCACTGGTGGGACCTGAGCCTTGAGAACAGAAGACTGAGAGGTGCCTGATCCAGGTCTATAAATGTCTAAGATGTTGGGGGGCAGAATGGCGAGGCCGGACTCTTTTCAGTGGTGAGTGGAGACAGGACAAGGGGAAACGGCTGGAAACTGCAGCATAGGAAGTTCTGCACAAATGTGCGCAGATGCCTGGATGCCTACCTGTGCGACCTGCTGTAGGGAACCTGCTTTGGCAGGGGGTTGGACTCGATGATCTCTGGAGGTCCCTTCCAACCCCTACAATTCTGTGATTCTGTGATTCTGATTGGGTGCTCACAGCACCTTGCTGGGATGTCTGAGCAGCACCTGAAGACCCGGCCACTGGCAGGCACCAGGGCTTATTTATTGCAGGGCTGTATTAAGGAATGACTCAGGGTGGAAGGGATATGAAAGGTCATCTAATTCCAGCCCCCTGCCGTGAGCAGGGTTGCCCGAGGGTCCGAGGAGCAAACTGCGGGTGATGCGCAGGGCTGCGGAGGCTGGGGGCTGGCGGAAGCAGGAGAGGAGCACCACCGCCCCGCATCACCCCTGCAGCCCTGAAAGGTGCGGAGCCTCCCGCGGCCGGGAGCGGGTCGGGCGGGCAGTGACGGGGCTGGCAGGCGGGCGGTGAGCTCCCGGCCTGGGTGTGCCGTGCCGTGCGCTGCCGCCGCCCCCGAGCGCCGCCGGCGCGGCACCTCCCGCGGGAACCTCGGCCTCGTGTCGGGCTCGGAGGGAGGAGGGAGATCGCCTCGCAGCGCGGGCGAAGGAGCTGCCGTCGGCAGCCCCGCAGTTAGCCCTCATCCCGCACCCGAGGTCGGACCCTGCGACCCTCCGGGCGGCCGGACAGGTGCGCTGCCACCGGGACGGCGTAGGGGAGCCCGGAAGCCCGCTGCCCGTCGGCAGCGGGTGGGGTCTCCGGACGGACCGGCTCTGCGGATCTCCCCTCCCGGCGGGAGAGGCGTCCCGAGGCGGGCGGGGAGCCACCGCCTCCCGGTGCGCGGGGGCAGCAGCTCCACCAGACCCCCCCCGCCGCTGCCCCGCGCCGCCCCCCTCAGGCGGCGGAGCTCGGAGGGGAGCGCGGCCCCGCGGGGGTCGTCGCCATGACGAGCGCGTGTGCCGCCGGCCGCCGCCGCCGCTGAGCCGCCGCTGTCCCTTCAGCACCGCGGCCCGCAGGCAGCGGAGCGAGGCGGCGGCGCGGCCACAGGCAGCGGGGATGGCGGCGCGGAGCCGGCGGCCGGCCGGGCGTTGAGAGCAGGTAGGGGAGCGCCGCCCGAGGAAGGGTCCTGGGGAAGGGGGAGAGGACCGGGAGGATGGAGGGCTGGGGGTGGGATGGAGGGAAGGGGAGCGGGGAGCCGGCGGGGAGAGGTGGGAGAAGAGGTACGGCTGGAACAAAGGAGCAGCAGCGGTGTGTGCGGTAGGGAGGGGGAGAGAGAAGAGGGGAAAGGGAGAAAGGGAGGGAAAGGGCAGAGGGAGAGATAAGGGGAGAAAATAAAAGGAAAAAGAGAGATGGAGAGAGAAATGAGAGCGAAAGAGCAGAGAGAAAAAAGAAAGAAAGAGAGAGGAATAGAGAAAGGAAGAATGATAGAAAAGGAGAGAAAGGAAAAGAGAAAGAGAGAGACAAAGAGAAGCAAGGAAGGAAGGGAAGGAGGAAGAAAGAAAGAAGGAAGAAAAGAAAGAAAAAGAAAATGAGAATGTCAGTAGGTGAACAGTCTTCGGATTTGCCCATTCTGCTGATGTGCTGATGCTTTGTGCAATTGCATTCTAGGCTTTTATTTCCTACACACCTTTGGAAGGAGGTCACTATGACAGGGCAGAGCCTGAAGGCTTTATCTGAGGCGAATTTTGAAGACAATGAGATCAGCATCAACGTTGGAGGTTTTAAGAAAAAGATGAGGTCCAACACATTATTGAGGTTCCCAGAGACCAGACTGGGCAAACTGCTGAGCTGTCACTCGAAGGAATCGATCCTGGAGCTCTGCGATGACTATGATGACACCAAGAATGAGTTTTATTTTGACAGGAACCCTGAGCTCTTCCCCTACGTGCTCCACTTTTACAACACTGGCAAGCTCCATGTGATGGGCGAGCTCTGCGTTTTTTCTTTCAGCCAGGAGATTGAGTACTGGGGAATCAATGAGTTCTTTATAGACTCATGCTGCAGCTACAGCTACCACGGGAGGAAAATGGAGCCAGACCAGGAGAAATGGGAGGAACAAAGTGACCAGGAAAGTACCACATCTTCCTTTGATGAGATCTTGGCATTCTATAACGATGCCTCTAAATTTGACAAACAGCCCTTTGGAAACATCAGAAGGCAGCTCTGGCTTGCTTTGGATAACCCTGGCTACTCAGTCTTGAGCCGAATCTTCAGTGTGCTCTCCATCATGGTGGTGCTGGGCTCCATTGTGACCATGTGCCTGAACAGCCTCTCAGATTTCCAGATCATTGACAGCAGCGGGACCCCCGAGGAAGACCCTCGCTTTGAAATCGTGGAGCACTTTGGTATTGCATGGTTCACTTTTGAACTGGTGGCGAGATTTGCAGTAGCTCCTGACTTTTTAAAGTTTTTCCAGCATGCCCTGAATTTGATTGACCTAATGTCTATCCTACCATTTTATATTACCTTAATTGTCAACTTGGTGGTGGAAAGTAGTCCGACCTTGGCAAATTTAGGCAGGGTTGCACAAGTCCTGAGGCTCATGAGGATCTTTCGTATCTTAAAGCTTGCCAGGCATTCAACGGGTCTTAGGTCCCTTGGAGCCACCCTGAAGTACAGCTACAGAGAGGTAGGGCTCCTTTTACTCTACCTCTCTGTTGGCATCTCCATTTTCTCAGTAGTGGCCTACACCATTGAAAAAGAAGAGAACGAGGGGCTAGCCACCATCCCTGCTTGCTGGTGGTGGGCCACTGTTAGCATGACCACAGTGGGCTACGGGGACGTTGTGCCGGGGAGCACTGCTGGCAAGCTGACGGCATCTGCATGCATCCTAGCCGGCATCCTGGTGGTAGTGCTTCCCATTACACTGATCTTCAACAAATTCTCCCACTTTTATAGGCGTCAGAAGCAGTTAGAGAGTGCCATGAGGAGCTGTGATTTTGGTGATGGCATGAAAGAAGTTCCATCGGTCAACTTAAGGGACTACTATGCCTATAAAGTGAAATCCCTTATGGCTAGCCTTACAAATATGAGCAGGAGTACTCCCAGTGAGCTGAGCCTGAATGATTCACTGCATTAGTGTACAAGTCTGACAGCAGTTTGCATGAGAGCTATCAAGAGCTGTGTTTATAAATGTTTTCCTATTTGTCATCCTTTTTTTTTTTTTTTTTTTTTTTTCCTAGAGGGTAATGTTGCTGACACTGCACTAACTTTGCACTTGAGAAACAAAAGAAATTTATATTCTGAGTTGACAGTTTGCACATTCTCATCCTGTTGCATAGGCACTGAATGCTGACTTTTCCATCTGAATATTTCCATTCCCCTGACATGAGTGCTAGCAGTATAGTGATGATTTGTTACTTCGTGCATTTTCTCATTTGAGCAAAGAAATGAACATACCCAAGTGGAATAAAAATTCTCAGCTGTGAAACTAATGATGAACAAAGCACCCACCACCTAAAGCGGTATTTGTAGCAGTTCAGGACCATCTCAAGACAGACATAGGACTTCCAGTGCATTTCACAACTGTTTTCAAAAAAATCACCTGGGAATCATTGACAAGGGACAACTCTTCTCCATCTTTCTGACTGGTAATTTCAATCGTCACATGTCTGAAAGCACCTCCAAGCTTCATATTTCAATGGAAGCTGGGTTACTCTTAACCACGTGTTAAAAACTGGGTGTTCTTGTTTGGAAATGTTATGTCCAGTAATATTTTTTTAGAAGTTCCTCAGCATAGGCCTACCTCTATTTCCATGACGAGGTCAGTTTCTAGCCCTCCAGAGAAGCCCAGCCTCATTTCTGGTGGCTGTGTCTTCCATGGCTGCACTGCCACAAGCAACTTGAGGTATGGAGGCCATGGAGGCGTCTCAGGTTCCTGCTTTCGGAGGGGACGTGCACACAGAGTGGTTCCAGTGAAGATACTCTGTATTTCAGTCCATCTAAATGGTTCTGAGATTAGGCACACAAAGATGTGGGTTTTCAGCGATTAGAAGCTCCAGTGGAAAATCTGGATTTGTTTAATGAAGAGAAATATTCCCACATGAAAAGTGCAGGCAGCATTTTAGGAACTGACATTCATATACTGCAAAAAGACTAATTATAAAGATGCCATATGTGACGCTGAGATACAGAGTCTAATTTTATCAGGAAAGCTTGAAAGCAGGTGTTGATGGCAGCCAATTCCATTACACTTTTTGCCAAGGAAACTCTAATGAAAAAAAAAAAGCCTTGCAAGTCACATTTTCCCTCAGAAAGGAACTCACAAGTTACAGCTGAGAAAGAGTGCAAGGGCCTAAGAAAAGAACACATACAGAAAAAGAGCTTAGTGCTGCATGCGCTGTGGGCAGATCCTCCCACCAGTTCCGTGACGCAGCCGATGCAAACCCTCTCAAGGGCTGGCCTGTACTTTTATTTAAAAAGAGAGAGAGAGCAAATCATCTGGGTTCTCAACAGTAATCATGAATCTGCATAAACTTATTGAGCGATCAGCCTTTTCCCTTATGTAACTGTTCCGAGATCAAACACTTGTAGCCAACAGGCAGATCCAACCCCTTCCTCTCCCAGCACCTCTGCTGCTCTGTGCTGTAATATCCCGCTGGCACTCAGAGGGCACAGCGGCATTTCTTTTCAAATCCATCGCCTTTTCCACCCCATTTACTACATATGTAGTAAATATACATATGCGTAGCAACTGATTGTTTTTCGTTTTAACTTGAGAAGACTAGAGAGGTCCAGAAAATACATTCAAACACATTGCAACTGAAACTGAAATACTGCAGCTAAAATTGCCTTGTTTGGAAGCCCATGTTTGTGTACTGCAACAAGGGGTGGTACCTAAACTAAAGCAGCCACAGTAGCAGAATGAAGCAAATATGGTAAGGATATGTCCTCTTTCAGACTATCAAGGGTTGCCATCTGAATCTTTTGATGGTGATGCTGTATCAGCTCAACCCAGAACCAGACGGCTGAGCACTCAGGATCAGACTCCAGTGATCTACCAAAGAGCACTCAATAGGAAATATCTTTCCCGCACACAAAATGTCCTTTGAATGCTGTTTCCTCAGAGTTGATTTAGGCCACAACCTGAGGAAAACAGGTCCTTCCCAGCCTCCTCACAGCAAAACTCTGAGAGATTTCAGCACAGCATTCACAGATGTCAGATGATGCTCTCTATCTCCAAGCACCAAACAGCCATATACATGGCCCTGAAGACTGACTTAGGCGCTGAATGAGGTATCTGAACTCGAAACACTTTTCACTCCTGAGTTACCAAGGGGATTGAAATACCATAAGTGAAAGAAGAAGTGGGCTTGTGTAGCACATTCACAAGCTCCAGTTGAGCTAAACACTACAGGTGAGGCAGAATCTCCCACTGGTGCCAAGGCCAGTCCAGCTCCCATTAGTTTGGGGCCTGCAGAGAATCTCCCAAGTCGTGGTTTTATCTCAGTTCCACAATCAGCAGATTCACAGAGCTTAAAACCAGTGACTTCCAGGGCAGTTATTGGAAGGGACCTGTAAACTTGCCAAAGAGTCACAAATTCCCTCAGCTGTTATTAGTTTAGCGTTGCAAAGGTTGGATCCAAACTTTACAACACATCATTTCAATAACCTATAGCTTATCTTATGTTCCAGATTTATTATTCATCGAGCTGATGCTCTGTCATTTCTGCAAGTATTGAATGGAATGTGTCCAAATTGCGTTTTACTGAAGAAAATGAAATACCCCAAGGAATTATGACTTTTATTGTACCGGTTGAAAGGAATTTTCGTTATTGCTTTTTTATATAAGTGCTTTGGATCAAAGACACTAAATAAATAAAGTACTGAAATTTAATATGTTCTTATTATCATGACAATGACTCTGTGCAGTACACAGGAATTCCCTTCATAAACTTAACTAGCTCCATGTCAAAAGTAGCCAGCCTTTGCTCCCACTCCCCTGGAATTGCATTCCAGAACCGCGCTGCTCTCCAAGACTTGTTTAACTGTTAGCGTAATTTTACTAACAGCTGCTTTATATGAGGTTTTTCTGATGCCAGGACTCCTCCTTAGTTTAAATAATTCCTTTTCCTCCTAGGGGTTACAGGCGCGGTGTATACACAGACAGCAATCAAATGCCATTTCAGGCTTATTTTCAGGGGATGATACCCGCCAGGACTGTTTTAGTTTTCTCTTTTGCTCTGATCATCCTAGGAGATCTAGCCTTATTTTCTGCTTTATTTCTGCTTAATCTGTTTGAGCTGGCACTGCACACCACTGTATCCTGAAAGAGATTGCTCTGTCCAGCAGCATTAATATTTGCTTAGGCTACTGGAATTTTTCACTGAGGCAGATGGTAATTATTCCAAGTAATGTTGCCTTAACTCACCAAATATACCCATGTAAGGAAGAATGAGGTGCATCCTTCCTGCCCTTTGATGGAGTAACCAACCTCTATGCCAGGGCTCAGCCTCATAATCATGGGCTCATAGAACTACTGAAGCTGGAAAGACCACTAAGGTCACTCGTCCAACCACCTGCCCATCACCGCCATGCGCACTGACCATATTCCTCAAAGTGCCAAGAATTCTCATCTCTCGTTAAACAGAAAAATGTTTATAGTTTGAAGGAAAATTTAAGTATCTCAGAAGACTTTGCAACTGTAAGAGGTTACATTTAGAGTAATCAATACCTGCTCCAGCCTTACAACATCACTGCTCATCTTCATTTCTATACATCTAAAGGTCAGAATTCAGTTAGAGAACTAATTGGCCACTTTCTCCAGTATTTGAAACATGAAAATTATTGTGGTCAGTGATCTGCTTTCCACGGACACTGAAAAACATTGCATGTGTTATTCTGCCTTTTGATGGTCACTTTTTTGTTATCAGTGAAGATGCTGCAACTTCTCTCTTCAGGCTGAAAGCTCTGAAGTGGCTTATGAAGAGGATAATGGTAATATTTCAAATTAGGAAATTATCAACTCTTTCAAAGGGTAGGTAACTGCAGGACAAGGAGAAATGGTTTTAAGTTGAGGGAGAGAGAAGATTTAGGTTGGATGTCAGGGAGAAGCTCTTTACTGTGAGAGTGGTGTGGTGCTGGAACAGGCTGCCCAGAGAGGTTGCGGATGCCCCGTCCCTGGAGGTGTTCAAGGCCAGGTTGGATGGGGTCCTGGGCAGCCTGGTCTAGCATTAAATGGGGAGGTTGGTGGCCCTGCCTGTGGCAGGGGGCTGGAGATTCATGATCCTTGAGATCCCTTCCAACCCTGGCCATTCTATGATTCTGTGATTCAGTGAAACTTACTTTAGGAATGAGCAAGTATAGAATCTTGATTTCTAGTACAAATCTAGGCTATCATGGAGATTCAGAAACGTCTTTGAGAAGAGATGCTACATTATTTTCTTGAGATGTAAAATCTATATATAGGTTGTGATTAAGCTTTTATATACATTCAGAGTTTGTATTATTGCCTGGTTTATGATTCACATACTTTCATCAGTTGCAAATTCTCTCTCTCTGCAGACTATGGTACTCACTTATAAAGCAATGTTTTCTTCACATAATGCAGCACAATCTCCTTCACAGTGCAAACTTCAGAACAATGAACTTTGCATTTAATTTTCCAAATTTATTCTCCAGTATTTCTTCCTTTTGGTACAATACTTCATGGGATTGCAGGAAACCACAGTATCTGGTGTTCATTCTGCAGCATTTCTTGTCCCCATAGTGTACTGCTCATTCAAGTACTCTGCTTTGTGCCACATTATGGAAATTAAATTCACCAAAAAAGTGCATTAATACAGTGGTTAACAATAAACCTAGATTTCAGGGTATTGTGAGTATACACAGAGGAAAAAAAAATAAAATAAAATAAAATAAAATAAATATATATATATATATATATAACAAAAGAGAAGCATACCTCTGTATGTGAAGGTATGTTTCTTTTAAATGTATACATCAGGCTAAATTTCCATTTTTAAAGATGTTCTTAATTGGGGGGGTAGCGAAGATGAAACACATTTTTTAGTTGAACAAATAGCACAAGCTTCTCATTCTCTACCTCACCGATTAGGGACTAAGCAGCACACCAATGGCACTTGTAGGTACTAAATCAATTTGACATGACCTTTCATCTCTTCCAAACAGCCCCTCTCCTGGTGGGCCCCAGCTGCACACACATGAGCAGCAGAAAGCCCCTGGAGTAGCTGTTCTTGCTTTCCCAGTTATCCATTTCCTTTCCCAACACTCCTGACTTTAATCTACCTTTCACGGTATTTTCAAACAATATTCAACCCAGAGTCACCACTCATATCCCTTAGTGAGGTGTTGAGCCCAAGCTATTTTTTTCTCATCAGGTTCTTCTTTTTATTCTTTTCTCCCAATTTATACACCTGACTTCCTCATAAGTTACACCAGAAATTAACTGGGTCTTCTGTAGCATATTTTCAGGCTTCCCACTATTCTGGCAGAGTTGAGCAATATTCCCATCCAGTCCTGAAGTGTCTTTTACAGATTCTGCCTTCTTCCTAAAAAAACCCCACACAAACACCCACCACCAACCTATGCTGAGCTGAGAATAATTTACAGTCAGCCACAATGCATGGGCACTCAAAGCAGTTGTTTGTCCAATCAAGGTTCGCTAATTCCTTCAGTGTTCAAACACAAAGATATGGGCCTTCAGTTGGAAGAAGCAACCTCCAAGCAGTCTAGAAAGTGTCTCCTGCATGCTGCTGGCACTCTGGCATTCACTTCTCCTGTAGTGCAGCAGAAGAACCATCTCACAGCCTCTTGCTGAGCTTCTACTGCACACGAGACATTCATCTGCCCCAGTACGCACAACCCTAAACCTGAAAGTCCTCAGTTTGGTGAATGCACGCATCTGGCTGGACAGGCAGGGGAATGCATCCAACCCTTCAGAGAAACATTAGAAGAAACATCAGCACCTCAAACTGTTATCTGTTTCAAGGTACCAGTAGGATTTAGCTTCTCACTGAACACCCCCAAACATCACCTCTTGTGAACATTTTCATCCCTCTCTGGATGTGCCTTTTCCCAGTACAGTATCATCGTGGGAGTATACCCTTCAGAAAGCTGAGGTCCACAAGAGGTTGTTGATGCTTTCAAGTCCCTATGGGAAGAGTGGGCTGTTCCCAACCAATTTCCCAATGCGACTCCCTCTGTCCGGTGCTACCGGCAAGGCCAGCTTCTCAAAGTCTCTCAAATTGAGATGGAATCTTCTTGTCCCAGTGCTGAAACAATGCAGGAGACAGGAGTCATGCTGCGAGGTGGGGGCAGCACATGGACTTTGCTGTGTTTGGCTTTCTTATGATTTCCACAAAGAGAGGTAAGTCTAGACACGGCAGGAATACAGAAGAGAGCAGCTGTGTACTTTCTCAGAGTTAATGGTTCCTGAATGAAGAAAGCTGGGGTGCCAGGAGGTTTTCCTTCCCTCTCTCCTGGCAGCAACAGACAGTTCTGAATGCAGAGTGGTGGCCCCTCAGTATTTGAGGCAGAGCAAGCGTTGGGAAAGCAAAGCCACACAACTGCAAACCCCAGAGGTGCTGGGGCTGCAGCGCTGTGCACATTCAGTCCTGAGCAGCTCCGTTTCTATACATCACTGCAGAAGCTGGAAGGCAGCTCAGAAGCACAAGAGTAATCTCTTCTTAAATACAACTTATCATTGTTCCTTCTACTAGAGCAAAGAGCTGAACTAAACACTTCAGTTCAGCATCTGTCTACAAAATAAATTATTAGTCAAACGCTTTGCTAATAAGACTTCCTCCTACTTCAGCTGCAAGATAGGACCTAACTATTGTGCTTTTTGTGGAGGCAGTAACTGAAGATAAGTGCTGTGAGATGTATAAAAATTGTGTCGGTTGATGGGCTGAATAAATCAGTGTTAACTACATTTAAAAGGCTTCAAACTTATACCCACTTGTGGAATAAATTTGCATTAATGATTGGGATGTGGGTCTGCTGTATTGCTGGTCCTACGATCACAGAAGTTCTTGATTATTTATCCCAATAATAACATACTCGGGGGCTACTCATGGATCCGTGTCAACAGAACACAGCTACACTAAGTAGGAGAAATGTGTTGATGGAATCTAACACATTATTGCCACTGATCTCATACACTTTTAATTGTGGGCTATAAATAACCCCAAAAGCAAATGAACATGCGTGAAAGCTGAAACTCTGCAGTGGATATGCCTTCCTCAGTAACTGAAAATAAAATGGGAGTGTATGGTATAGCACAGACCCACAGTGGGCTACCAACTCACTGCTGGTTGTGTTTCCATGTCTGATAGGAGGAGAGGTTCTTGCAATGAATAAGAGCAGTATTTCAGAAGAGCAGTTGCATTTTGTGAAATACAGCACCAGTACTCACTGCGTTAGAGACCTCTACTCAATTTGCAGAGGAAAATCAGACTTTGATTATGATTACTTGTATGTGCATATAAATGGCTGACATAGGGGAATTATTCCACTATTTTCTGGATGGCCTCAACAACGTTACTCTGCAAAGATCAACAACAACAACAACAAACTCACCAGGATTTTAGGAGACTCAGAAGTTATTTTGTTAATTGTATCTGTAAATACAGAGTTTGGTCTGTTTCGCTTTTTTATTAAATCATAAATAAAACTTTAAAAAGTCTAACCTTCTTCCGTAGTTTCAGCAGGGAATTGGTATATGACAAATAAGTGACTTATCTGAAAGAAGGCCTGCATTTTAAATAGATTCTCGTGCTTTTGGATATGGTTGCTAAGAAAATTGGTAGCTCTACTTAATCCTTCTTCAAATAATCTCTGACCTACATAATCCCTGGACTGTGACACCTGTTTTCATGTGCTGGGAGAGATCAAAAGGACACCTCTCGCTGTTTAGTCTGTATACCCAATTGTGCTGTAATAAAAATGAAATATCAATTGATGCATCACACTAAAGGCTTAGTGTCAGATAAATCAAACCAAAAGCTTTTGGTCTCTCTCTTTGATGTAGTCGCCGTGTGTTTTTCCTTAACAGTAACCACGCTGGCTTTGCAAGTCCAGGAAGGTGTGAAGTGGCAGAAAAATCTTAAAGGCATTGTGCTGTGAATATCTGAGGGCCACAGATGCTTTCCCATGATGGGAACGGAGGAATGAACAGAAAGTTGAGGGTGTGTGTCTGTGTGCTCATGCACACACCTGTGTACAAAAAAAGGATTATACCAATTATACCAGTCAGGTACAAATATCGCGGAAAAACACGATTAGGAGAGCTGTATTTCTCTCTGGGAGTGAGGCAGGGAGAGATTCTGGAATATAAAATCTTCCTCTCTGTAAGAAATATCTGCATAGGGCAGTGTCTAGTTCTTAAAAAAAGACCATATGCCTTAATTAACTTGTAAAAGTGAAATATATATCCAGACAATTAGCATGTGGTTGCACAGCAAGTGAGAACTCTGACTGTTTGCCCCTAACACATGAAAATTTCTTATTCCTGTGTCTGGCCATGCTGTCAACATGTCAAGTCCTGCCAACAGAGCAATGCTGCACCAAAAGCCATTTGCCACTGCATCATGGCTTTGCGCATTTGATGATGAGCTGCCCCTCATCAGGCTTCCTTCACCATAGGCAATGGTTTGGTATAGTGCTACCCTGATGCTCACCAGCAGTTTCCAGATCTGTGCCACATCTCTTGGTGGCAAGGTGACACACTGCTTTGTGCTGCTTCCTCACAGTTCTTGGGAGCCTTGATATCATTACAGCAGAGGACTCCTGCTAAAACCATCTGCATCCATACAGCATGGACGGTCTGTCCATGTCGAGACATCTATATATCCATCATCTGCAGCAAAGGCCTCCATGATCCAGAGAGGAGTGGGAGAATAAAGGAAGAGAGAAACATTCTTTCAGTGACTTCTTCCTGAGGTTTAAGTACTTGGCATTGTTATGGTGTTTTCAATTATAATTTCTTTAAAACCACTAAAAGTGGCAGCTGAATAACACAAAGCATAGATATAAAAGACAGTAAGCATTAATGGAACCAAGTCAGGTGTGAAACACTGATGTAGAACAGTTAGCTACAAAGGCGCTTCTGTTAGCCAGCATCAGTCTCAGAAGCAGCATGTCCAGAGCAGCTGAGACTTCGCTTCAATGATCTCTCATCAACGACAAAAAGAATAAATGCTTTAATAATAAATGCTGTTGGCACCTGTGGGACAACATCTCAAGGACACTTAGCTCAGGGAAACACTTCTTTAAAGCAATGCCCACATTTGTCTTTCTGAGCAGGGAGAAGCAAACCAGGAGGAATGAACAAGTATTCTTCAAATACTCTTAACAAAGAAAAAAAAAAAAAGAAGAGATCACACCATATAAATAGCAGCCCCTTTCCATAGTGAATACATTAAACAGGGAAAAAACAAAACAAAACAAGACAACAAACATTTTGTGAAGGAAACTTGTTCTAAACTTAATGGGGCAAGTCCCCAGGTACAACGTAATGACCTTACATTGAACTATTATGAATGTAATTTTGCCTTTCCCCCAAAGCAGTGCAATATTACATCATCTGGCACCAAACAGTGACAGGAAGCACCACCTGCTGCCCAAGACTTTTTTTCTGCAAGGCCTTCATTGACAATAATGGACATAACACTGTTGTACCACAGCCTGATACAGAAAATTCCCTAAGCCAATTTTCTAGCTCACTCTATGATGTTAGAGAACATCCTCCTATGCCTTCAAAGGGCAGAAAGAAGCACCACAGTAAGATGGAGCTCTTAATATTTATAAATGCAAAGAAATAAAGGCTTGCTTATGTTACAAAGTCTTTTTAATTAGCTTTATACCCATGAATACAAGTAAAAAGAAAATGTAACCTTCATCACACCACACTGATAAAACAACATGCACACAAAGTGCTTTACAGAATTTGTGCAGAATACATTCCATTTAGAAGCACCAATGCATGTCAATGGTGACTAATGTTACCTCATGGACTTGTGCACTGTTTCATTATTCATTTACCATCAACCACTTTTATACTGAGAAGCACAACACACTGTGCAGGTGGACACAGAAGCAGACTGAGCCACTGCACCCCCCTGAAAATACCTGGGCACATACAGGCAAGCTGTTATTTACTGGTGATACAGCTATATAAATGAATATTAATGGTTACTAGAGACATTAGCTTTAGTTAGAATGAACAACAAGACAACAACATACATGAAAAATTCACTTTTATTACAAACGTTTAGTAAAAGGCAATTATTTTTCAAAACTATTTCTCTTTTTCTTCCTAAACCTAAACAGACAAGATCAGATGCACATAAGAAACCATTTGGTTAAAATCTTACTGAAGGTTACCTTGTCAGTAGTTCTATCAGATATTCTGCAAATCTCGCCTTTAAAATGCCGTAGTTACTGTACTATCTGCTTTCCTTTATGGAGATGCTCATCCTGCAGTAGAAATGTGCAGCCGTTAGCATGGATGGTTTGATTCATTTGGACAAACAGAAGAAAGGAAAAATAAGTTGTAATCATCTCTTAATATAAAACCTATTTCTACAAATTATGCTTGCACTTAATTTAGAGGCCGGAATGCTAGCTTCTGGAACCAAAGACAGGTTTCACACTGTCCCAGAAGGGCAACATGAATAACTTCACAGTCATTGATGGACGAATTCTTTGGTCACAAACTGCCTGATACTACCCAGTTTAAAGTGTTTCAAAAGCCATTTTCCACCTCTATTAAGTGGCTTGCTTCATTTAGTTTTTTTATTCCGTGACTTTTAGATTTTCCTCCTGCATGTGTGTATGCTCATGCACTAAGTTTACACAAATTGCTTCTATTCGGACAGATCAGGAGTGGAGAGAGGATGTCCTTTATCTTCTGATACCTTTCAGATGTCAGACTGCAGCACCTCTAGTCTAAAACGGCCTTTTACTGGAGTCCTCTGGAGAGTTAATTCATATTTTGTGCACTGCATTTAAAAGCTTTCAGGATACATGAGAGACGAAAATTCTGATCATTACATTACACTGCAAATTAAACTGCAAAGACATCATTCAAAATCAAAGCCCTTTTTTGGTGGGAAAAGTTTCAGAGAGTAAGGGAAAAGAAAGCTGCTAATGATGAAGGCAAGAATGTCTGGACACTTTGCTTAAAAGGCACACCAACAAAAGGCAAGTTACATTCCGCTCCTGATGGTTTAAGTAATCCTGTTCTATATTTCTACTTACAAGTATGCATATACACACACACATGTGCATATAGACACACACAGACCAGAAATTTGAGGAATTAGGAATGAATTTTAAATAAGAATCAAACTAATGGGGGAGGTGTTTGCTGCAGTTATTTTCTGCTGCATTATGATTATAATCTAATAGTACAGTGATATGATTATACACTTTTTTACTTTACATCATTTCATTGTATAAATGTGAGGCATAAGATTACAAGGTGCATTTATCTTACCTAAAGTAATTTTTATGGATCTTCTGTGTTCTTGCTTCTTCAGAAGGGATGGTCGTTGTTTTAAGAAATATAAAAAGAGTTGAGGGTAAGGATGTTCTAACAATCACAATTAAAATTTATTTGACTCTGGGGTTTACAGATTAGAGTGTGGCATGCACGCAAACACACACAGAATGACAGTGACAACAATGGCTGTAATGCAGCTCAAAACCAAATTCTGGTCCCAGCACGGCCGTAATACACTGATATTGTAAAATCTTTTGTTTTCCTTTTCCTTCAATTTTAAGATACAATGTTCCATTTCCAAAATCTGCACTGTTCCACCTAAATGGTCCACAAACGATGACAGTAAATGTTAAGAGGTATGAGATGATTACTAATTTCCAGAAAACATTCAACAGAAGATGCCCATACAGTAGTCACCATTAAAAGCTTAACAGCTGGAGGTTGAAAGTAAAGACCTTTTCAGTTGTATTGTTTAAAGTATGACTATCACAGTAAAGTTAATTATAAAAAGGTAACAATTGTAAAGATTGCAACAGAGAACCCAGTAGATTGTTCAGAAAGTGAATCACATTTTTGGCTAAGTCTGAAATAGCTTTTGTAATCTTGTAAATTCTACCTATTAGATATTACACAATATAAATCAGACAGAAGAAGCTGTAAAAAGATATTAAAAGCTTGGTCCTGCATTTCTGATTTCCCAAAATCTACCACAGAAGACTACAGGAATTTTGTATGTTTAGTGATTGCAGGACAGAACCCTCAGAGATCTGCAATATCTTGCTTCATTTCAGTACTTACATTATATATAATTATCAATTGATATTCTTTGGCTTTTAAATTACTATCCCTTAATATCTATAATGTGAAACCAAACCAAGCCCAAACCACTAATAACTCCCCTCTTACCTCAAAATAGTGCTGAAAAATTAAATGAACTAAAAAACATATCCAGTATGTGTAAAGTGTAGCTGTTACTTCATTATAAAACTAGGATATAACTACGGTGCAAAACAGGAAGGTGATACTGGTCAGAATTGCAATAGCAATTGGAAATTTACACTGCAGGAGTGACTGCAAGCATTGCTTCTCCTGAATAATAGAAAAATCAAAACCAATTAGGCACTTGTTTTCTTGTTTAATGAGAGGCCATTCTGTGTGCGTAAAAATGACAGAAATATTCTCTAAAAGAATGCTCTCTAGTGTAACAATTGTATTGCTCAACTGCAGCCACAATCCTTCATTCAGGAGAGCAGAAAAACACGTGCTTATTATTTCCTTTATGCTTAAAATCCTGTTGATAGGAATGGACTGAACACATGTTCAAGTGCTGTCCTGAACTGGGATGCTTGCTGAAATTGGAGTATTAAAAGATAATATAGTGGTGAGTTGCTTTTCATTCTACTACAATACTAACTTCATCTAGTCTAGCTCTTCTCTCCACAATATTATCAAATATTTCCTAATTAAAAAAAAAACAGGCATAAAATAAATAGGATAATCAAAGATTACACAATAAATACGCTACTAAGTGGGAGGAAAAGTATATTGCAACATAAGGCTCCGTAGTGTTGTACAATCAAGAAATAGTTCCAGGTGCTCCATAACTCACCTCCTAATGTACAACACAAAGTTACCACAATACACCTGAAAAAGACTGGGAAGTAACAGACCAAACTTCTATTACATTGAATGCTTGAAAATTTAACAAGTGGTAATGTGTTTCACTCCCGTTGCAGAACATCACGTGTTCTTTCACTGCTCCAATTGTCATTGCTTGTGAAGGAAGAATGAAAAGATTGTTTTTTTTTTTAAAACTCTCACAATAAAATTCCTTCAGACCTACACAGTTACCAGTGTCCACACTGACTCGTAGCATCATCTCTGAAAGTAAAACAAACTCAGAAATTTTGTTGTCTCCTCTTCTTGGCATCCATCGCATCCAGGATAGGTTGCCTCTTTGCAGTGTACCTCTGACGAAGCTCTTCAATTTCTCGTTCCATCATAGGGTCCAAAGCCTTTAATCTCATCTGTAATTCTTCTAAACTTAGATTCTTCAACTGCAAAAAAGGCAAAACAAGCACACAAAAAACACAGAAAAAGATTACAAACTATTTATAAGCAATATGAAAATCATCGCTTTTCATAACCCTTTAGATTACAGTTGCACTGTGTTTTTACATACCCTGTGTGTACATATATATATATATATATATATATCACTGTTTATATAGACAGAAGCTCCACAGTAACAGCACATGAAAACACACACACACATTCAGCACAGTTAATAAAAACAGTAACAATTAAAAAAATCCCTTTGAATATCCTGTAATTAGACTGCGAATAAATATAGCCCTGGGATTAAGCTCCCTGGGCTGAAAATAAATGCACACCATTATACACAAGATTATATTCACACATATAAATTACTGGCTAATCAAGTATTTCTTACTGAATTCAGTCTCTCACAGAAGCCTTAAGAAAAAGACAACTGCTGTAAGAAACAATCTGAGAGACATTTAGAGGTACCCTCTGATCAGAGTGACAAGACACCTGTACTCCTCAACAGACTGCTGCCAGAACCAGTCAAGGCATCTGCCAACAAGGTGCTTAAATAACACAAAATAATTTCCTGAATTTGTGGGAGGGAATTATCTTTTACCGCCCTCTTTTCTTTCTAAAAACGTTTTCTCACAGTGTTAAAAGAGTTCATTACATTTCATTCGTTTAGAGCGATGGCTCACACAAGAAGTATGCAAGCAAAGGCCAGGGTCCCAGCAGGCACCGGGGCACATCAAGTGTCAATGCTCCACCTGCTCTTCCTGGGAGGATCCACTATTGAAACACCTTCCATTGGTTGCCCTATGTAATTCTTTCCTGGGGAAAGTCCAGTGCCTTACTTCTTTTCTCTCTCCTGCTGGAAGTGCCTGGGTGTCCATTTTTCACAGTGTGATAAACATTAACATCCTAGGAAAGGGACAATCTATACTGTGTTTGCAAACATGCTGGCATTGCAAACAAGCGTATCACCTAACACAGGAGGAAAAAAAAAAGAATACATTTTCTGAATCAACCTACTAATGAGTCAATGCTTAGTTTATGAATCTAGGGCAGTTTTCCATCAGCACCGTCCGATCTGCTTTCCCCGAGGAATGAAATACTACTTTTGATCTTTATTTTTATCCGCATCTGAGGCATATAAATTAGCAGCACATATTGCTACATGCAGTCCAAACCCTAGCACTATGATTTCTACTGATATACTACACCATACATAGTCAACAAATAACTTAAATGCATAACCAAGATGGAGTGAAGAGCAGAAATGCATAGAAGAGCATATACAAAAGGACGCCTATTTTCATTCAATGCTGTTTTAACAGTGAGATTTCTATGAAGGTCAGAAATAAAAGTCAGCTGTCAAAATATCCCCAGGACCAGAGACACTCAGAGCAGCATCAGCTTCAGAAACCCCAGATGCACTCAGCAGCCCATAACCAATATCTGTGTCTGCTGAGCACAAATGACACCTTTTGCATCCCAGAAAGGAAGAAGTTGCCTCCGCCCAGTTTATGGCATTTCTCCCACCTGATAAATGTAAGAAAGGGTGGGGGAAAACAATCATCATTCCTCAGTCACCAAGACTCTTAGAGAAAAACTTCCTACAATTTTCAGAGAATGAAAAGATTTTAAAAACAAATAAAAAAAAAAAAAAAAAAAAAAAAAACCAAAAAAAACAAAAACCCACCTCTTTCTTTTTCAGTCCATTGGTAAATATTACTAGCATATTACGGAAACTTTTCAGAGAAGATGTTCTCTAGATGAGTGAATTTGCAGTACTATCACAGAAGATACAACAGTACTGATTCCTCTCTTTAACTGGTTCCTAGCATTATAGATGAGAGAAGCAATAAAACCATTGTTTTCAGCACGTCTGAGAAATGTGTTTGTGGCTCCATGGACTAGCAAGTGGACCAAGAGAAGCACCATCAATGACCACTTGTGTGAGTTTTCTGTGAAAAACGTCACTCATGAAGTCTTGTGTCTGCTTAAGGTCAGCTTGGGCAACCATTTATTCCCTCTGAATCACCACTGCAGACATAAAGTGTAAACTGCACATAATAGACTCAACCTTATGTGATCACATAACTTTTCTGCACAAAAAAAAAAAAAAAAAAAAAAATTAAATTGTCAGAGAATAATGTGATGGCTGAGTTTTTATTTAAATTTCAGTCAAGAAACAGAGCCAGCAAATGGAATTAAATATTCTTTAAGAATCACAGACAGCTGGGCTGGAAATTAAAATACAAAGAGAATGAATTTTTAAATCCAGAGAATAAGAATCTTTCAGAATGATCTCAGTCATGTCACCCAGGGGACATGAGGAACTGCAGTGCTCATCTGTATGAATGGATGATGCTTGGGACACACAGAGGAAGCAAATAACAGAAAAAAGGGAAATTAAGAATCTGAAAACAGAGTTATGAATCTCATCCATCTGACATCAGATGCTAGATTAGACAGTAATGGTCAGAGAGCTCTGTGTACTATAGAAAACCACTTAATCACGTTGAAATGATGCAGCTCACTCTAGGAAGTGTTTCTGTGCACACACACGTATAACTCCTCATTCAGAATGTTTGCTTCTTGACTTTTTTCTGTGCCATGGATACTTTTTCGTGAACCCTAAAGACAGCAGAAGTCCAAGCATTGATTGCAACAGCAAATATATTAAATGAGATGCGCAGAAACTTACAGGAAATGTAATTGTTCCTATGCAATTTATTCCCATGCATGATGATTATTTTGATTCAGTTTCTTAAAGCTGTAGAGCTTGGCACTCTCATCCACTTCCATTTGTAAAGAGTTCACAATTTAAACTGCCATAGCTAATTTCCCATGTGGCTTGTTGAAAGAAGGACTACCAACACAAATAGGAAATTCTCTGCAAGCAACCAGAATTCAGAAAGGTTTTAAATGGTACTTTGCTAACATTTTACAAGCTGCAAAAACAGTAGTCCTGTAATCAAGCTATTATTAGTCTGACAGTGACAGTTTAATCTCTGCCACTCCAAATAAGAGAATCAATCGCGTCCGTTCTGAGCTCAGATGCTCACAATCAGATAGCAATTAGTGTCAAGATGGTCCAGCCCCAAGGCAGAGGCAGGCTTCAGTGAATGGAGCATCTGCAAGGTGTATGGGAACACTTGTCTTCACTGATACCCTTCAGATACCAAAGCATATCTATCTAATCCTTGCAGCTGAACTGTTATTTTCTAGGAAAAGGCAACACAACCATACATTGCACACTCTCCTCTAAGAAAACAAAAGTAAGGAAATCTAATATAGCTCATCTCGAACTCTTACGAAATGGAATACCCACCATTTGCCTCCTTCTGGTTCACTTTTCAACCTACTCATAATAGGATAAGCAACTTCTCCAAAAAAGCTGAGTGCAAAAGTTAGAAAGCAGCAGAACAGATTCAGAATTGTTAGCAACCTTCTTTTAATTTGATCACCTTCATTATTGAGAAATGGAGTTGGGATATAGCAACAATCAAGAGGCTGGGGAAGTTCCAGGCACATCCACAAACTGTGATCAAATCACAGATGAGAGCTACTGAGTCCAGAGACAGGTACATTCCCTGGTGTGACGCTGGCAGGAACCACAGCCAATCACAGTTACCTGGGTTTTTAAGAAGCAGTGATAAGCTCTGCAGCTGAAAAGAAAATAATCCAGTGCTATAATGCAAGATAGAAGATTCATCAGAATATTTTCTATGCAGAAAACATTCTTATTCTGGTCAACACTGGCTTCAGGCTGTTTGCTTTCTATTACATCTTCAAACAGTGACATAGAAGGAATACCTTCCTCCCACGCTGATGCGGTCATCTCTCAGAACTAAACCGCAGCAAGGGAAGGGCAACAGTTTTTACCTTTTTCAGTGTAAGTGAGTGTATCTCAGATAGGTCAGCTACATTTGGATTGTCATGTTCAGCAGGACAAAGAATTACTTGCAGTCAATACTCCTGCCTGCAGAAGGACCCACACCGTACCTTATATATTTTGTTTGCAACCCTGATCAGATCATATTGACAAAGACTTGAGCCAGAACATGCAACTGATAAATATACAGGCATTCCTGTCTACAGACCAGATATTGATAAGCTGAGCAGGAAGGAGACAACACACAATCATATGTGGACCTTCAAAGGTCATCAAGACAAGCAGCGCAATGTGAATCCTAACTGCCCGTGTCCAGCACAGGAGTCAGGAGGAAGGAAATGTATCTGAGATACTTGGCGGTGCTTGCAGTCCATGAATTACAGTGAAGGGGTCTGGAAAAGGGTCTGGAACTCATTAGCTGGTCTTGGCCAGCACACATCTGTAGCCATCCAAACTTTTCAGGGGGCGAAATCCAAAGTTTGAGTGGATGTAGCACACTACAGTCTTAATCCACCCTTGACAGCTAACAGAGGTAAATAAAAGCTCTAGGCTTGTGATGTTTTCAATATGATAAAATTAGATTTCATTAGTAATTCCATAATGCATGAATTCCCATTGCAAACCTCCATTCTATCAAACTAAATTATGGAATACTGCCATTAAGCTGGTGCAATGAAAACAAGCAAATAGATATTTGATCAAAAAATAATCTGTATCAAGTTTGTTGTATTTACTTGAAAAAACCAATTTTTTCCTAGCAACTGCTTAAATGAATCTTACAGATGCAACATGCCTTATTAGAGGCCTTTGATTAAAAAAACATGGATTACTAATACTGTATTCTGAGTCATCTATTTTCCCATCTGCTAGTAATTCCTACAATATGAACTATCAACAGAATGGCTAACAACAACAATTTTCTATGGCAATTGCAAGAGTGGGTTGCCTATAGCACTTTCTAAGATTTAACCAGTGCATGCCTTGGATTGCTCTGTGTTGTTAGTGGCCTCGGGTAAAAGAAACTTTCTCTCCACTGTAGCCTTTCCTCTACTTTTGCTGAGCAGTTTTCTTCTCTCTTACTGAATGAGACCCACTGATGATTTCAAAATC